GAACGGGGATTTAAAAATGGCGGCGCCCGGCAAGATGCAAATGAAGCCTGGGATATTTAAATCCCGGGCTTCATTTGCAACTTTGAATGCCTACATTAGCCACACTAGTTCGAACTAGGGTGGCAGTGCAGACATACCCTTAGGGAGCCAGGGCGAACACCTGGGGGGATGCCAGGGCGAACACCTGGGGGGATGCCAGGGCGAACACCTGGGGGGATGCCAGGGCGAACACCTGGGGGGATGCCAGGGCGAACACCTGGGGGGATGCCAGGGCGAACACCTGCCATGAAGAGATGACAAAAACTGGCTACCTCTGGATTCCACACCTCCAAGAGGCACCCGGAAAGAGGGGATTTATTGCTCTTGCTATCTGGCTGGTTGCGTCTGTTACTCACCAAGGCTGTGGTGTGATGGGTTGGTTGCGATTTGACTTTCCTCCAAGGCATCTTGACCCTGCACATGGTGCTCTTCCTCCTGTTTAATCAGTGACAGGGCGTCGCTTGTCAACATGGGGGAGGCTGGCCCTGGGGAAAGAGAATTACGTTGTTTGATCTAAAAGCAGAACCTTGGCTTCGGGCTGGCCATAAGCACAGGACAGGGGGAGATTTCCTCCTCACTAATGTTTGTCAAGGACTCTGAGCTCCAGGAGAGGATGGCTTTGGAAAGCAAGCTGGCAGAGACTGGGGGAAGAGACGTCACCCATTACAGCTGGGGTCGCGGCCCAGTGAAAAGCACAAGCACCATTTTCATTGCGTTGCCCCACAGCCGTGAAAATCCAAAGCCACCAACACAACCCTGCCGTGTGACAGCAAGAGTGACAGAGCTCAGAACACGGGTCCTCAGCCTGAGGGGCCGCACACCGGCTGCAGCTGTAGTAGGAAGAGTTCAGGACACAGAAGCCCTTGTATCAGAGGCCTGCTGTGAGGCCTGAGGCCTAAACTAAAGTAGCCAGGTCAAGTTTGCTGACACAAAACAAGGAAGCTAAGTCAGGTCTTGCCTGCTTGCAAACACAGAGCAGGGCTGATGCTGCAAAAACACCCGTTTCTAAGTCACGTAAGGGCATAAGAATATATACGACAGTCATCCTCAGACCTCCTGGGTTCAGGAGCCAAACTGGGGATGAACTTTACCCAAAAGAACCACAGGAGTTTCAGTTCACGGTAGCACAATTCATATTTAAACAGCATTATGGGAAATATTTAGCTTTTATTGACATGATATACATAATACGCTCACAGCAAATAAGTTAATAACGTAATGCAAGACGATAACCTCACGGATTAATTAAGCACAGCAAAAGCATCCTGATTAATTAATAACTTAAATGATTAGTCCTGTAGCCCCTTAGAGACAGCAGAAGAAAGAGTCTGAAGCAGAAGCCTGGTGCTTGAACCAAGATAAGCGAGAGTTACAGACAGGCCGTGTCAAAAGCAAATGTTTGTCTGTGTCTCTCGGCACTAGAACCGCTGGCACTGCTAAAAGCACATGGAATACGTGAATACATTCCACCAGGACTGTACAGGGACACCCAGCTGAGCACATGATAAAATAGTTTGAAACAACAAGAGCGAAAGCACAAAAACGGGTAGTGACGGCTTTGGAGAAAAGTCCAAGGGGAGGTCCAAACGTGTCATTAATGTAGAAGGAGATACATACGGGGTGTAGCACAGATGGTTTATCTCCATCTGTACATGCTCAGAGGTAGGCAGAGCATCCCACCATCTGCGGTGTGAGCCTTTCACTTTCTCCAGAGGAATGAGCCCAGTTTGAGCCGGCTACTTAGAAAGATGTTGAAAAAAAAGCCTGAAATCATGAAATAAAGATGGAGGCGGGGACCAGAACCGTCTCATCTGGTGAGGAGGAAGAGATGTTCCCTGGTGGAGTAATTTCCACCGCTCCTCTTGCCTCCTGCTCCGCAAAGGTTTCTTCCTGGACACTGGGGCCACGAGAGACGTCTAACGGACTGTGGAAGAGGTCAGATGCCCGAGAGGTGTGGGGTCTGTGGGCCACCCATGGATCCTAGTGAGGCCACGGAGGGGGAAAGGGCGTAAGTGGCGCTCCCCCCCAGAGGAGCACACCAGGAAGACTGGGATCGGAGCATGGGTGCTGCTGTGTTGGTCCCAGACGCGGTCACAAACGGTTGTTACGTGAGACCAGAGAGAAGTGGTCCTCCAGGTCTCTGTCCAAGTCCCTGCTGGAGTTGGGTGGGGCTGACAGAGGTGCTGGAAATGACCGTCCCGGTGCCGACGCTGGTTCTGGGGACTGAGACGCGCTCGGTACCGGAGCCCGTCGGGAGTGAGGACCCGGTGCCGCCACTCGGGCAGTGCCATCGCGGTTGGTACCATCAGGGACTGACTCCTCGGCGCCACCAGCCCCTTGCGTGTCCATCGCCCCAACGGGGGCCGCTCTGAGGCAGCGCCGAGGCTCTTCTTGTCTGAGCCGACTGTGGAGAGATGGTACCAACGGTGGCGCCGTCCCTCCCCAACCTGTGACCCAAGGTCCTTAGACATCACTGAGGAGCCCTGTGCTTTCGGAGCCACCGGTGCCAGCCATGCCAACGTGACCCACATGCCCTCGGGCTGGTCAAGAGTTCAGTGTGAGGGCTCGCAGCCCTGCTCCTACAGCCTTTGAAGGGACTGTCGGCTAACTTGCTCTGCGCTTCTCCCTCTGAGGAGCTTGAAGGCCCCGGGGACGATCTTCATGCCGGACAGGATTCGGGATGGGGTCGGAGGCCAGTTCAGAAGCACCCTCCACGCGCAGTTTCAGTTTTTGCGCCTGGTTCCTGCGGGATCTGGCCTCCCGCTGTCGCACAACGTGCCCCGCTGCGGAATAGGAGCCTCTCTAAGACGCTGGACGCAGTGAGTGTGTCCCTTGGTCATAAAAAACAGGACTGTGTAGCACTTTAAAGACTAACAGGATGGTTTATTAGATGATGAGCTTTCGTGGGCCAGACCCACTTCCTCAGATCAAATAGTGGAAGAAAATTGTCACAACCATAGACACCAAAGGATACAATTAAAAAAAAAATGAACACCTATGTCCCTGCAGGAGAGACACCAGGAGGGACGCGGGCACGTCCCTACAGGGCTGATCCCAAAACAAATGGGCCAAAAGAGAATTTTTTTTTAAAGAATAAAAAAACAAAAAAAACCAACCCCTGACGCTCCCGAGGCATCACAAAAACAAACGGAAGCGTTAAGAGGAACGAAACCCTAAAACTATGAAACTAACACAGGTGAGCACCCGTAGGGCCGCTACGCAAAGCAGCAGCACTGCTCACCTGGGCACGGCTCCCTGCCGATCCGGGACACACGGCTCCTCCCCCTGTTCAATGCGGGCTAAGAGGTCAGGCTTGGATAGGGCGTAATCTGTTTCAAAGACAAGAATTGGCGGCAGGGGACAGGACGTTACCAAGCGCGTGACCATTCCCACAGCGCCCTTAGCATCCCCTGAGTGCTTTGAGGGCAAATAAGGGAATAAGTCAACACAGACAAGTGCAGAGTCCTGCCCTTGGGATGGAAGAATCCCAAACATTGTTACAGGCTGGGGACCGACTGGCTGAGCAGCAGTTTGGCAGAAAAGGACCTGGGGTTCCAGTGGATGAGAAGCTGGATAGGAGTCCCAGCCATGGTCTTGTAGCCAAGCAGGCTAATGGCATATTAGGGTGCATTAGGAGGAGCATTGCCAGCAGATCTAGGGAAGTGATTATTCCTTTTATTCAGCACTGGGGAGGCCACATCTGGAGTATCGTGTCCAGTTCTGGACCCCCACTGTAGAAAGGATGTGGACACATTGGAGAGGGTCCAGTGGAGGGCAACCAAAATGATTAGGGGGCGAGGAGAGGCTGAGGGATTTGGGCTTGTTTAGTCTGCAGAAGAACACAGCGAGGGGGGATTTGAGAGCAGCCTTCAGCTCCCTGAAGGGGGGTTCCAAAGAGGATGGAGAGAGGCTGTTCTCAGTGGTGACAGATGGCAGAACGAGGAGCAACGGACTCAAGTTGCAGTGGGGGAGGTCTAGGTTGGAGATTAGGAGAAGCTATTTCCCTTCTTGGTGGGGAAGCCCTGGGCTGGGTTCCCTGGGGAGGGGGTGGAATCTCCATCCCTAGAGGTGTTGAAGTCCCGGCTTGACAAAGCCCTGGCTGGGATTTTTTTAGTTGGGGTTGGTCCTGCTTTGGGCTGGGGGTTTGACTCGATGCCTCCTGAGGTCTCTTCCAGCCCTTTGATTCTGTGATTCTAACAGTTCCCTGCCCTGAGTAGCTCAGCATCTCACAGAGATTTACCTGCACGTGCCGCTTCAGTGAGCGATCAGCCAGGCAGGGAGCCCCAGGACGAGGGGGAGACCCTGGACTAAACCCCCAACCTGGACTCCCACGTAAATCCGGTACACCCTTTCCTGCCACAGGCCCTCGCAGACCTCACGTGTCCAGCACAAAGGGAGGGTCTTGACACAGCAATCTGTAGTCACACTGCAGATGCTCCTGGGGGGTTCTCCCAAGGCGGTGGTTCAGGCTCCTGGATGCTTTGCCCGGGGACCATGGGCTGCACAGGGATAAAAGGCCCGGTCAGCTCTTCCGGGGGCAGCTGCTCTCTGACACAGAGCTTTGCTATGATGGGGATGCTGGTTCTAGCATCCTCCCTGGGTTCATTTTTTGCTGCTACCTTTGAGTGCTCCACTGCGGCTCCGGGCCTTAGACGTGGGCCTACCAGTGTGGCCGGAGCATGGCAGGGATCAGCGTGTCCTGGGCCATCTCTGGGAGGATGCGCCAGTCCGGGGCCTGCAGGGGAAGTCCTGCCTCCTGCTCCGGCCAGTCTGTATCTGGGTTCCAATGTGTGTCAAGCAACTGGCCCAGCGGCCTTGGTAGGCAGCGGGAAGAGCTCCTGGCACTGGTTTGGGGAAGGTGTTTGCAGAGGAAGCGGACGTGGGACAGGACTTTCCAGAGGACGGTGGGAGAATCACAGAATCCCAGGGTGGGCAGAGAGCTCAGGAGGCATCGAGTCCAGCCCCCTGCCCAAAGCAGGACCAACCCCAACTCAGTCATCCCAGCCAGGGCTTTGTCAAGCCAGGACTTCAAAACCTCTAGGGACGGAGATTCCACCCCCTCCCTAGGGAACCCAGCCCAGTGCTTCCCCACCCTCCTAGGGAAATAGTTTTTCCTAATCTTCAACCTAGACCTCCCCCACTGCAACTTGAGACCTTTGCTCCTCATTCTGCCATCTGCCACCCCTGAGAACAGCCTCTCTCCAGCCTCTTTGGACCCCCCCTTCAGGGAGTTGAAGGCTGCTCTCCAATCCCCCCTCACTCGTCTCTTCTGCAGACTGAATATGGAACACGCTCCCGAAAAAAGATTCCCGTTGCCACCTGCACGTTCTGTTTAGAGGACTGGCAACTTCCCCCCGGGGCACTCATCAGCTGAGGAAGTTTGGAGCCAACACTCCTAGGAAGGGTTGTCTCACGGCAAAGGCTCCCAAGACCTGAGCCCAACACCACTCTGCTACAGACTCCACATGCAGCCCGGGGCAGATTTTCAAAGCATGGCAGCTCCTGTGAGAACCTGGCCCCAGCCCTCCCTGGGGGTGGAGCACTTGAAAACCTGGCTGGGAGCTTGTGAAAACGTGGCTCCTAATCTCTCCGGGCCTCAATCCCGCAGCAGCACAGCGGTGACGTTCCCGCCCTGCTTACGGGATCTGTGAGAAGACACGTGGGTGCCATCGACAGATGGAAGCTCTCTAGTCCAGCACCCTCGGCACTGGCCCGCTCCGAACCAGAGAATTTGCCAGAGCACGGGAGGCCAATATTGTCTAGCAACATTGCCAACACTTCCACTGCTGACTGGGCTGTGAGAGGACATTTCGGGGTAAATTCAAGGTAAATCACAGCACAGAATATTGAGAGCCAGGACTGGTGGCTGTAAAATGTTATGGGAACGTGGGAAACTTGGCCCCACCCATGCTAAGTGGACATGCGGCTCACTTCCACCCATGCTAAGTGGACACGCGGCTCACTAACATCACGCCGAACCACGGCTGTTTCCGGACCAGTGAGTTCTGGACTAGAGAGGTTCGACCTGTACAATGCCAGAGCCTGCATAAGAACCAAGCTAAAACAGGACTGGACACCGTCGGGCGTCTGTACAGGTGACTTGGACCAGAGCAGGTAAATGCAGTTACTGTCCAAAGCTCACGCCCTCCACCGCGTAACTGTCTTCCGGAGCGGCCCGAGAAAATCTTTGAGCGCTCCAAGCGCTGCCCAGTGGAGGACAACTCCCAGCTGCAAGCCAGCCCGGGACCTGCACACACCTCGTCTCTTCTACTCATGGAGGAAAAACGGCTCCTTACCCAGCGAGAGCAGGGTCTCGTAATTCCCCTTCATCACGTTCTTGTACAGCTCCTTCTGCCACTCCTCTAAGCGCCCCCACTCCTGCTCGTTGAAATACACGGAGACGTCGTCGAACGTCACCGGCACCTGGAATCACACGCGTCGCCTGCTCAGCGTTGCACGCATACAGGGTGCACGCAATCACACACACTGCATGCAGACGCTTCTCGGACGGTCGAGTAGTGACTCAACCAGTCACTTACATCCCTAGTCCTAACTAATGCCTGAATTCTGGAATGGAGTTTGTCTATAATACTGATTCTTTGTTCAACAAAGCTGCAAAAAAAATTATAGCAGTGCAAAGTTCATACTGAAACTGCTACAGAGAGCCATGTGCAAGTGCTTTATCAGAAAAAAACAAATGACAGTGGATATGTCTACACTTGCAGTCTCTTTCGAGACGAACCAGCACAATTTGGCATCTTAGATCTGGTCTCCCCTGCTCCCTCCTGGTCTCCCCTGCTGTGCTTCAGCCTTTTAAATGTATTAAAAGCCTGCCGGCTCTTAATACATTTAAAAGGAAGAGCCGCAGTGGGGTTAGGTCTCCGGGCTGGGAGCTAACCCTGCTGCGGCTCCGCAGTTTCCCCTGCTTATCGACTAATTGACTAGTCGATGGAAATTCCATCGACTTGTCGATTAGCTGATTGAACACCTCGGATTAATTATGAGAGAAGGTGCACAAATAGGCTCGCCACTAGCCCTCTGGACAAGGCCAGGCAAGGCAGCCTTTCTTCCTTACCCGTCCTTAATAACCCCCAACCTACTGCCAGGGAACCCCTGCCCTGCTGTTGCTTAACGCTTCCTCTCTCTGCTGGCTGCTGGCGAGCCTGGCTGGGCACGTGCTCAGCCACTCCCTTACTGAATTTGCAACTGCAGAGCCGTGGCTCACGGGGCAGCACAACGTGGCCCCAAGAACTCACAGCAGGTAACCAACCCAACTCCACGAAAAAGCAGCCAGCCAATTAAAAGGTTGCTAAATCCAGGCCCAGATAGGTTGGAATGCAGCAGGGAAGGGACAGAGGGTGCCTGGCCTGCCTTGAGTGCAACTTGGCCGACCTTCTTCGGCACTGGCGAGGCCACATCTGGAGCGTTGTGTCCAGTTCTGGGCCCTCCCAATACAGACGAGCCTTGGGCGCATTGGGGAAGAGTCCAGCGGAGGGCAACAAAAAGAGGAGGGGTCTGCAGCTCATGACCGATGAGGAGAGGCTGAGGGATTGGGCTTGTTTAGTCTGCAGAAGAATCCTAGAACACTAGAACTGGAAGGGACCTGGAGAGGCCATTGAGTCCAGTCCCCTGCCCTCACGGCAGGACCAAGCACCATCTAGATCATCCCTGACAGGTGTCTGTACAACCTGCTCTTGAATATCCCCAATAATGGAGATTCCACAACCTCCCTAGGCAATTTATTCCAGTGTTTAACCACCCTGACAGGTAGGAACTTTTTCCTAACGTCCAACCTAAACCTCCCTTGCTGCAATTTCAGTCCATTTCCTCTTGTCCTGTCATCAGAGGCCAAGAGAACAATTTTTGCCCCTTCTCCTTGTAACAAACACCCTTTTAGACACTTGACAACTACCATCATGTCCCCTCTGTCTTCTTTATTCTAAACGAAACAAGCCCAATTCTTTCAGCCTTTCCTCACAGTTCATGTTCTCTAGACCTTTCATCATTTTTGTTGCTCTTCTCTAGACCTTCTCCAGTTTCTCCACATCTTTCTTGAAATGTGGTGCTCAGAACTGGACACAAGACTCCAGATGAGACCTAATCAGCGCAGAGTAGAGCAAAAGAATAGCTTCTCGTGTCTTGCTCACAACACTCCTGTTAATGCAGCCCAGAATCCTGTTTGCTTTTTTTCTTTTTTTTTTTTGCAACAGCATCACACTGTTGACTCATATTTAGCTTGTGGTCCACTATGACCCCTAGATCCCTTTCCGCCATGCTCCTTCCTAGACAGTCGCTTCCCATTCTGTATGTGTGAAACTGATTGTTCCTTCCTCAGTGGAGCACTTTGCATTCGTCCTTATTAAACTTCATCCTATTTACCTCAGACCATTTCTCCAGTTTGTCCAGATCATTTTGAATTTTGACCCTATCCTCCAAAGCAGTTGCAACCCCTCCCAGCTTGGTATCAACTGCAAACCTAACAGGCGTACTCTCTTTGCCAATATCGAAATCATTGATGAAGATACTGAACAAAACCGGTCCCAAAACAGATCCCTGCAGAACTCCACTTGTTATGCCCTGCCAGCATGACTGTGAACCGTTAATAGCTACTCTCAGAACAGTTATCCAGCCACTTATGCACCCACCTTATAGTAGCCCCATCTAGGTTGCATGTCCATAGTTTATTGAGAAGAAGATCATGACAGACCATGTCAAATGCCTTACTAAAGTCTAGGTACACCACATCCACCGCTTCTCCCTTATCCACAAGACTTGTTATCCTAGCAATGAAAGATATCAGATTGGTTTGATGTGACTTGTTCTTTATATGCTGGCTGTTACCTATCACCTTATCATCTTCCTGATGTTTGCATATGAATTCCTGAATCACTTGCTCCATTATCTTCCCTGGTACAGTCTTTAAACCAACTGATAGGTAGTTTCCTGGGTTGTTCTTATTTCCCTTTTTATAGATGGATGCTATCTATAAGAGTGAGGGGGGATTTGAGAGCAGCCTTCAACTCCCTGAAGGGGGGTTCCAAAGAGGCTGGAGAGAGGCTGTTCTCAGTGGGGGCAGATGACAGAACAAGGAGCAATGGTCTCAAGTTGCAGTGGGGGAGGTCTAGGTTGGATATTAGGAAAAACTATTTCCCTAGGAGGGTGGGGAAGCACTGGGATGGGTTCCCTAGGAAGGGGGTGGAATCTCCATCCCTAGAGGTGTTATGTCCCGGCTGGACAAAGCCCTGGCTGGAATGACTGAGCTGGGGTTGGTCCTGCTTTGGGCAGGGGGCTGGACAGGGGAGGGATCACGTGATGATTCCCTCTTCTGTTCACTCCCTCTGGGGGGCCTGGCATTGGCCACTGTTGGCCACTGGGCTAGATGGATCTTTGTTCTGACCCAGTCCGGCCGTTCTTAGGTTCTTAGGATGGTCTGTTCCAGCCCTGGGATTCTATGATTCAGGGCACAAGGCCATCTAGCCTGGGCGCTTACCTGGGGCACCTCACCCTTAGTGCCCGGGGGCAGCCTCAGGATCCAGAAGTTCCTGTTCTTCAGCAGGTTCTCCATGTTCTCCAGGCGCCGCTGCAGCAGATGATTCTCCTGGATCAACGTCCCCAGCACGGCCCATTTGCTCTCCAGCTGGTTCCCAAACTCCACCACGGTCCTCTCACACCCTATCAGCTTTTTCTCGGCCGTCCCCATTCTCCCTTCCAGATTCAACAGCCGGATGGCATGAGCGTCCACTTTCCTCTCCGTGGCTTGGATGGCAGCCCCCAGCGTCAGGGAGATCTCCTCTGCCTGCAGCTGGGTCTCTCTCCCGGACGCTCGGCACGGGAGAGCACGCGGCTGGGGCCCCCTGGGACTGTCCCATTCTACAGGCTGCGTGTGCG